CATCAAGCAGGGACCACAAACTCTGCTGGAGGACACTAGAAAAAATAAGAGGGGATATTTGAACACTCCTCAATGTGGGGTGCATGTCTTCCCCCAACCATTATGTTATGTCAGGCTACAGTCTTAATGTGAAAGGCACATCAATTACTGAGTAGGTAACACCTATTCTCAGTGCTCCTCATGGGCACTGAGATAGGTGTTACTTATCTCAGTGCCCATGAGGTGAGGATGGTGTGATCATGTAAAATTTTTTATAATGTAAGACAGGTTAATAAATAAGCTACAGAAATCTGGGGCGAGTGCAAGGTGTAGATGGCATCAAAGAAAAAGTTGAGACAATAAACGATGCAGCGTTTGGGAATCAAGTTGCCTTTATTTTTCTTGGGTACATAGCATGAAATGACGAATTATTTAAGATTCTTCTCACGCATTTTCCCTCATTCACATTTGTATTTGTTTACTTTATTATCTTAAATCCCTTGCCCTTAAATGTCCTCATTATCCCTCTCTTTCTCCAATACATTCCTAAAATTTCATCAGAACTCTTTAAAACTTTCTTATAATTACCTAATTTTGCAGTGTTATTTTCCTTTGGCATCCCCTTGTTCAAAAAAATATTATGACAAAAAAAAATGCAAACAATGAGAAATCTATTATGTTATATAGTTTTCAAATGTATTACTTACCTCAGCTGTTGGCCAAGCAAAGTTCATATCGCCCCGTAAAAGCTTGGATGACATAACATCATATGCTCCCCATATGCTGATAAATTTTTTCAAATATAAATAAAAATGGTTAAATTTAAAGGTATAAAAGTAGACGCTAGCATCCCATGAAAAACATATACACGGAATAAGGTACAGAAAGAGAATAGTTAGGGCTAGATAAACCATTTATTTAATGCAAAAAAAGGAAAGGCAAATGACCAATACACAAGTTTGTGTTGCTTCAGTGCAGAAAGGCCTTGCTTAAAATAATGGGTAGGTTAAAATAATATCACTTTATTTCCCAAATTTTATCCTCAACGCTTGAGATATGTAGATTTTTTTTTTTTTCAACAAGTCGGCCGTCTCCCACCGAGGCAGGGTGACCCAAAAAGAAAAAAAACCCCAAAAAAGAAAATACTTTCATCATCATTCAACATTTTTCACCACACTCACACATTATCACTGTTTTTGAGAGGTGCTCAGAATACAAAGTTTAGAAGAAATATACGTATAAAGATACACAACATTTTCCCTCCAACTGCCAATATCCCAAACCCCTCCTTTAAAGTGCAGGCATTGTACTTCCCATTTCCAGGACTCAAGCCCAAAACTATATGAAAAAAAACCCGGTTTTCCATGAATCCCTTCACTAAATTATTACCCTGCTCACATCTCCAACAGATCGTCAGGTCCCAAGTATCATTCGTCTCCATTCAATCCTATCTAACACGCTCACGCACGCTTGCTGGAAGTCCAAGCCCCTCGCCCACAAAACCTCCTTTACCCTCTCTCTCCAACCCTTTTGAGGACGACCCCTACCCCTCCTTCCTTCCCCTATAGATTTTATGCTTTCCATGTCATTCTACTTTGATCCATTCTCTTTAAAATGACCAAACCCCCTTTCAAAAAACCCTTTTTCTGCCCTCTGATTTAATGCTTTTTTTTAACTCCACACCTTCTCCTAATTTCCACACTCCGAATTTTCTGCATAATATTTCACCACACATTGCCCTTAGACTGGACATCTCCACTCCCTTCAACCGTCTCCTCGCTACGCTTTACCACCAAGCTTCACATCCTTTATAAGAGTGTTGGTACCACTATACTTTCATACATTCCCTTCTTTCCCTCCATAGATAGCGTTTTTTGACTCCACATATACCTCAACGCACCACTCACCTTTTTTTTTTCATCAATTCTATGATTAACCTCATCCTTCATAAATCCAAACTGCCGGGCACGTCAACTCCCAAATATCTGAAACTTCACTTCTTCCATACTCCTCCCCAATTTGATATCCAATTTTTCTTTATCTAAATCATTTGATACCCTAATCACCTTACTTTTTTCTATGTTCACTTTCAATTTCTACCTTACACACATTCCCAAAAATCATCCACTAACCTTTGCATTTTTTTTTAGAATCTCCCATAAGCACAGTATCATCAGCAAAAAGTAACTGTGTCAATTCCATTTTGAATTTGATTCCCCATAATTTAATCCCACCCCTCTCCGAAAAACCCTAGCATTTACTTCTTTACACCCCATCTATAAATATATTAAACAACCATGGTGACATTACACATCCTGTCTAAAAACCTACTTTTACCGGGAAGTAGTCTCCCTCTCTTCTACACACCCTAACCTGGCCTCACTATCCTCAAAAACTCTTAACAGCATTTAGTAAATTACCACCTATTCCATATACTTGCAACATCTGCCACTTTTCTCTCTGCCAATCCCTAGGTACCTTCCCCTCTTTCATACATTTATTAAACAAAAGTACCAACCACTCCAACACTATATCCCCCCTTCTTTTAACATTTATGTCATGATCCCATCAGTTCCAGCTGCTTTATCCCCTTTCATTCTACGTAATGCCTCACGTACCTCCACCACACTTACATTCTGCTCTTCTTCACTCCTAAAAGATGGTATACCTCCCTGGCCAGTGCATGAAATTACCGCCCCCCCTTTCTTTCTCAAACATTTAAAAGTTGCTCAAAATATTCTTGCCATCTACTTAATACCTCCCGCTCACCATCTACTAACTCCCCTACTCTGTTTTTAACTGACAAATCCATACTTTCTTAACTTGTTTAACTCACTCCAAAATTTCTTGACAGAGCCTCTCCCACTCTATCATCTGCTCTCCTTTTGCACTCTCTTCACCTTTCTTTTACTCTCCATATACTCTGCTCTTCTTATAACACTTCTGCTTTGTAAAAAACCTCTCATAAGCTCCCTTTTTTTCTCTTTATCACACCCTTTACTTCATCATTCCACCAATCACTCCTCTTTCCTCCTGCCCCCACCCTCCTATAACCACAAGCGTCTGCCCCACATTCTAATACTGCATTTTTAAAACTATTCCAACCCTCTTCAACCCCCCCACTACTCATCTTTGCACTAGCCCACCTTTCTGCCAATAGTCGCTTGTATCTCACCCGAACTTCCTCCTCCCTTAGTTTATACACTTTCACCTCCCTCTTACTTGTTATTGCCACCTTCCTCTTTTCCCATCTACCTCTTACTCTAACTGTAGCTACAACTAAATAATGATCCGATATATCAGTTGCCCCTCTATAAACATGTACATCCTGGAGCCTACCCATCAACCTTTTATCCACCAATACATAATCTAAACAAACTACTTTCATTACGTGCTACATCATACCTTGTATATTTATTTATCCTCTTTTTCATAAAATATGTATTACTTATTACCAAATTTCTTTCTACACATAGCTCAATTAAAGGCTCCCCATTTACATTTACCCCTGGCACCCCAAATTTACCTACTACTCCCTCCATAACATTTTTACCTACTTTAGCATTGAAATCCCCAACCACCATTACTCTCACACTTGATTCAAAACTCCCCACGCATTCACTCAACATTTCCCAAAATCTCTCTCTCTCTCTTCTTCACTTCTCTTTTCTCCAGGTGCATACACGCTTACTATAACCCACTTTTCACATCCAATCTTTATTTTACTCCACATAATCCTTGAATTAATACATTTGTAGTCCCTCTTTTCCTTCCATAGCTTATCCTTCAACATTATTGCTACTCCTTCTTTAGCTCTAACTCTATTTGAAACCTTTGACCTAATCCCATATATTCCTCTCCATTGAAACTCTCCCACCCCCTTCAGCTTTGTTTCACTTAAAGCCAGGACATCCAGTTTCTTCTCATTCATAACATCCACAATCATCTCTTTCTTATCATTTGCACAACATCCACGCACATTCAGACTTCCCACTTTGACAATTTTCTTCTTATTCTTTTTAGTAATCTTTACAGGAAAAGGGGTTACTAGCCCATTGTTCCCGGTACAGTATTTTAGTTGACTTTTACAACACGCGTGGCTTAAAAATAATATAATATAATATAATATAATATATTAATTTTTTTTTTCAACAAGTCGGCCGTCTCCCACCGAGGCAGGGTGACCCAAAAAAGAAATAAAATCCCCAAAAAGAAAATACTTTCATCATTATTCAACACTTTCACCACACTCACACATTATCACTGTTTTTGCAGAGGTGCTCAGAATACAACAGTTTAGAAGCATACACATATAAAGATACACAACATATCCCTCCAAACTGCCAATATCCCAAACCCCTCCTTTAAAGTGCAGGCATTGTACTTCCCATTTCCAGGACACAAGTCCGACTATATGAAAATAACCGGTTTCCCTGAATCCCTTCACTAAATATTACCCTACTCATGTGGCAGGAAAGACCATGACCATAGCTGTTTTCTGCCCACATATACCTTATTTTTACAGATGCCAAAAAGAAACTCCTCAATTTTTTATATCTTCAACATGTAGTATCAGTGTGGCAAAAATAATGGATTAACAGCAGTTTTATTAACAACACTGTAATGATTTTAGCAAATCTTGTCACAGGATATCCTGTCATTTTTAATGATAAGAAATCTTAATCTTGTACCCATTTATTGTCCATAACTTTTATGCAGCAGTTGGAGACCTGTGGCATTTTTTTTTTATACTACTGTTGAAGTTTTTAACACTGGCAGTTTCCCACTGAGGCAGGGTAAGCCCCCCCCCCAAAAAAAAAAACATTAACCGTCATTCTTTTGTCCACAGAAATGTGTGGACGTCACAGTTCACCCTCTAAACTGTAGCATCCTTTCCCCTTTATTTAGAGTGCAGGCGCTCTACTTCTGTAAATTATTCATTTTAATTCTGTACTATCCTTTTGCCGTAATGTATACAGCATGTATTTTGGTAGGTGAAAAGTGACAATACTCTTACTTACTTTTCTAGTAATAATTGTAATTTTTGGAACAGTTGCTTCAGCAAATGCAAATAAAAGTTTAGCACCATGACGAATAATTCCACCATATTCTTGAGCAGTTCCTGGCAAGAAGCCTGGTACATCCACAAATGTCACAAGAGGAATATTAAATGCATCACAGAATCTCACAAATCTTGCTCCTTTCACAGAGGAATTGATATCTAAACACCCTGTGAAAAGAATAAAATTTAAATGAAAAACACTCAACTGAATAACCTCAACAGGTTTAGTTCACTTCAAATAAATTAATGAACCTAAAAACACAAGGAAATAAATCATTAAACAAAATTAACCATATTATGAGACTGAATGAAATCCTTTTGTCCACTATAAAATATTATTACTCATGGGAAGAGCACTAAACCCATAAGGGTCATACAGCATCTAGGGGATTGGAAAGCATTCAGGCTTGATTCAAAGAACTGGACCAATGATCTAATTCCTTAGATCAAGAATCCCTCACCAGCATATTACAAAAAGATCTATACAGTGGACCCCCGGTTAACGATATTTTTTCACTCCAGAAGTATGTTCAGGTGCCAGTACTGACCGAATTTGTTTCCATAAGGAATATTGTGAAGTAGATTAGTCCATTTCAGACCCCCAAACATACACGTACAAACGCACTTACATAAATACACTTACATAATTGGTCGCATTCGGAGGTGATCGTTATGCGGGGGTCCACTGTAGTTTATAATACATTTTTTTTAATGGGAGTGGATATTCAGAACCACAGTGGTTAATTTTCCCATAAATGAACTGTCACTATCACTCCTTCCTCTTCCTAAAATTTTCTAATTGTATCTACTGTAGCATCACTTGGTGTTTACAGTAGTTTGATCCACCAGTGTGGCGATAATACGAGTGTGGAATTATGCATTAATGTTTAAAATACTTGCACTCAAATCCTAAAATTAGTCACTAAACTGTTTGGACAGAATTTTATAAGAACAAATGTGTATACATTATCAACAACGGATCTTATCCATCATCTTTTTTTTTTTTTAAACCTTTCACTACCCAGAGCCCTGAAATTAAAAGCGCTCAAGTGCCCACATTTATAAAAAAAAATTATTTCTTCTGAAACGGTAAGAGAATTTTCCTGAGGGTAATAACTAACTCTAACTCTAACTCCCTCTCTCTAACTCATTCACTCTCTCTCTAACTCATTCACTCTCTCTCAACTCATTCACTCTCTCTCAACTCACTCTCCTCTCTCCCTAATAGACAATTATAACCGTCTGTATAACTCAGGCATCGGTGATTTTGCCAACTTTGAGTCTCGTTGCTCAATTTGACCAAATTTTTTAGCTATTTTGCAAGTATGCATTCTGCTCAATCGATTAAGTACAAAAAACCACCCATTCAATTATCAAAACTATCTTATAAAGTGCAATTAATTCAGTAATTTGGCCAGTTTTATGTAAAATTAAAAAATCCAATTTAACCCTTTCAGGGTTGGTGCCGTACTAGTACGGCTTGCATGCCAGAGTTGGTGCTGTACTAGTATGCATAAATTCTAGCGCCTTCAAATCTAGCGAGAGAAAGCTGGTAGTCCTACATATAAAAGAATGGGTCTATGTGGTCAGTGTGTGCAGTATAAAAAAATCCTGCAGCACACAGTGCATAATGAAAAAAAAAAAAAAAACTTGGACTGTATTTTTGGTTTAAAACAGCGACTTTGCACTGTATTCATATGGATCACGGTTGATTTTGTTTTCCGGGTCTCAAGAAGGGACATTTAGAAATTTAATGATTTATGGCCAAAGAATTTTGACCCAATACAGAAAATTTTTAAATTCAAAATAAAAAATCCGTGCCAGAGGGCCCAAACAGTAGGGTAGAAAAAATTTTTTATTTAAACCACAATGAAATGTTACATTTTAATTTTTAGAATAAAACTAAAGGGAAAGCAAATTAAATGAAACACCTGGATGTTATTAAAAGAGGAAATGATTTTTGGCAGGATGTCTGTGACGAAGGGGAAATGACATGTGTTAGTGTTTAGAAGGCAATTCCCCTTCCATTTAGGTTGAGATCAGTAAAGTCGGTTTTCCTCTCGGTGAGTTCTGCCGTTCTTCTTTTAAATGTCGACTGGTACCATTCCATGGGTCAACTGGAATCGCCGTGCGTAACAAGACATATACTTCCTGTGGCCTGTTCCTTTTCATCAAATTCCTTTTTGATTGATCTAAAGATTTCCCTCATTTCATAGTAATAAAATCAAAAACCGGCCCTGAAAAAAGTTGTGTGAGGGTGTATGACCCATAAAAGGGTTAAAACATCTTAAGCACTTAGCACATTCTCCTTAACTTTGTGAAATATAGGCCTTCATATAAATTTGCTTTCCCTCTTGAACCATCCAAATAAAAAGATTTTGGCCCTATTTCTTGAAGTGAAAATACAGGAATCAGTGGTTGGTTTATTGGTCCTCAAAATCCACCACTCAATCCTACAAATATCTTCCCACTAAAATCAACCCAAGGAACTAGTACCAAAATACCAAATCGAATTTCACGGGCAAAGTCTCTGGTTTATCCAAACCCTTTCAAAATCCCTTTTTTCTCTACGCATTGTGGCAATTATTTTTTACTGCGCACAGACCTCAAGACCATTTTTGTCCTCCCGTTCTCTCAAGCTTTACCTAATAAGGTTTACTCAAAATGGGTATAAGCGATAGTCCCAAAACTCTCTTAGGGTCAACGGTCAGTTTTTTTGTCTTTAAAACTAAAATTTCATCAAACCAGCTTTTTGAAGTCTAACCTTGGAAGTCTGCCAAAAACTCTGCTGGTCCGGGCTCCAGGAAAGTTGGTATAGGAGGTCAAAAACCACCTTAATGAAGCTCATGTCCCCATAAAGTCGTCTGCCACGTCTGTAATGACAGGCTTATTTACACCAGGAGGCATTAATGTTAATTTTTTATAGTAATTTTCACATTGGGGAAATGATGTGTAACCATTATTGAAAAATTCCCTAGTACCCATGCCTTACTGTTTGCCCTCCACAGACACACCACAATTATCCTTGAGGACATTCTTTTTGCCTGAAACGGTCGGGAGTTTCAGAGTGATAACAATAAGCATCATTGCAATCACCAGTACAGACAATCATAACAAATAAGCCTGTCTTACCATAGGCTTTTTAAATTTCTCCAAGTTGTTATTAGGTCCGGTCTTGCATTTTCTTCTCCAGAACAGGCCGTTTCATCACAATTAAACACTTGTCGGTTCCAGTCCTTCGTTTTATAAATTCTTGAGATTCCTTATTTTTTTAGCTTTGTGGTCAACTGGCAGCGGGCCCATGCCTTAACACTATGGATGCCACTACCTTCTTAAATCTCTGCAAACCAACTTTGCCTTAATTACTCACAACATTACACCTTTGCAGGTTTTTAATTCCAATCTCATGCAATTCCTGCCTTTCCATATGATCGCTTGAAGATGCTATCTCCTATCTGTTTTTCATTATCCACCCCAAATAAGAGTCTCTCAACATTTTTCCATCACTTCGATCTTTGTTCGAAAACACATTTGAACCTTTGGCAAGAACAGCTTCCTTGATTGTCTTTTGGTCCCACAATATCGATGGTTGTTTGGGGTTTCTGACAGCGACTAGGTGGCTAACGCACTCCACTTATACTTATCAATTTCCTTTCTTCATCTCTATAGTAATTTTTTACCCTTGAGGGTGGGTTGGCACAGAAGCTTTCTTGGGGCCCAGGGTCATTTTATTTTCCAAAAACCACCGAAAATATGTTAATACGAAAAAATTCCCGAGTTATCTTGATGTCCCCGGGGAGGCTGGCTGGTAAACAAGGAGGGGGCAAGTGAGCTGGCTGGGGGCACTTTGGACGCGTCTCGGACGAAAATCGGTAGGGGTTTTTAATGGGTTTATGCGGGGCAAAAAATTTTGCGATAAAAGTAATCGTTAGCGGAAAAATCGCTAGGACCCATCGTATGCGGGGGTCCACTGTATTTTCATTGTATTTTGGTTTATTTTTTTCCTGGTCTCATTTTTATAGAAGGAAAACTTATAGAAATTGAGTGATTTTGTTTGGGTTTTTCACAAAGAAAAGCCCTTTGAAATTGACTAAAAGTGCGAAATTTCGATTTTTCCCAAAAAGTTAAAAAGTAAACAAATATGCCCGCCCAAATCACGTAACTGGCGAGTCTAATATTCTTTCACAAGTGTGGTGATTTATTTATACCATATTACCAATCATAGACTGCATAACAGAAAAATCTTTCTATTTTTTGTGAGAATAAAAATTCAAAGTGGAAAGTAAAATAAATGTAACAGAGGCCTGGGGATGTGACTAATGAACAGAGGAAATGTTATTTTAGTGCCAGGAATGTCTGTCTTGTTTATTCTGAACCCTATTTGGAAATTGACATCTTTTGAAATTTGTGTGAAACTGGCAAAATTGCCACTTTCTTACCATTTTATTGGGTAGTTGAAATCAGTAAATGGGTGGTTTCTTGCACTCATTCGGTAGAAAAATGGAGTTCTAGCGAAACAGTTATTGTTTTTGTCGACTGGTACATTGGAATTGGCCGAAAATAGGGCTCAAAGTGGGTGAAATCGCCATGCGTAAACATCAAGACCACTAACTTCGTGAGAGCATAATTCCCTAAGTTTTCCGTCAAATTTCTTACTTTTGGTGTCATTATGATCAGGAAAAGATTTCCCCTCTCATTTCATAAGAAAAATATTTTTTTTTTTTTTTCAAAAATTTCCGACCCTGAGAACTAAGTTTAGGAGAGGGCCTACTGACCCTGAAAGGGTTAAAACAATCTAAAATAAACACTGTAGACATTCCAGGCACTAAAACATTTCCTCTGTGCAACAATCACGTTCCCAGGCCTCTCCTATATAACACTTGCCTTTCATTTTGAATACATCACAAAAATATCAAAGATTTACCCTATTTCTTGCATAGTAAAATACGTACGAGGAATGACTGGTCATGGTTTATGGGTGTCAAAATAACAATCAAATCTAGTAAATATGTCTTCCATTCTATAAAATGAGACCAAGAAAACTAGAATACAACAATAAATACCATACGAAAATACAGTGCAAAGTCGCTGTTTTATTCCAAAAACACAGTCAAAGTTTTTTTTTCTCATTACGCACTGTGTGCTGCAGGATTTTTTTTATACTGCGCACACTGACCACATAGACCCATTCTTTCATATGTAGGCCTACCAGCTTTCTCTCATTAGATTTGAAGGTACTGGAATTTAAGCGTACTAGTACGTCAAAAACCCTGGGTCATAAGCCGTACTAGTACGGCCAAAACCCTCAAAGGGTTAAATAACAAACAAGGTCAGTTTTGTTTTTCCCATCAATAAACATTTAAAATTTACCACTCCATAACCTATGTCTAGTTTTAAGAAGTCTAAACCATTAGGATTAGTCTGCCTAAAATACTCATGCATGCTAGTGGCTTTCTTTGTGCTTAACAATACTTTATTACATGTAAACTACAGTTTGTATACTACACAGAGAAATAAAAATTTTGAATTTTGAATCATGTACCAAGTGAGGCAAGATTCTTTTTATACTGTGCAAACTCGCCACACAGACCCATTCTCTCATACCTGGGCTAAAATTTACACCTTGCAGCTTAATCTGGGCGAGCTGAACTCATGATTATAACTATGTGAAGGACCCCTGGCCTCAATGACGTAGCTCTACATGACGGCCACTGAAAGGTTTAACCCTTTCAGTGTCAAGACCCCTGATCCTTAACCCTTTGACTGTCGCAACCCCCAATCCTGAGGTGTCTCCTGGTGTCGCAAAATTTAAAAAAAAAAAATTATTTTTTCTTATGAAATGATAGAGAATCTTTTCCCAATTGTAATGACACCAAAAAAATGAAATTTGATGGAAAACTGACGGAATTATGCTCTTGCGAAATTAGCGACCTCGGCGCTGTTTACAAATCAGCGATTTCGCCCACTTTGAGCCCTATTTTCGGCTAATTCCATTGTTCCAGTCGCCCAAACTCATAGCTATTTTCTTTGAACTCCATTTTTTTCTATCGATTGAGTACAAGAAACTGCCCATTTACCGATTTCAACTACCCAATAATGTGGGCAAAATTTGCAATTTGGCCAATTTTACGAAACTAAAAAAATATGACATTTCAAAATAAAGGGCCAGAATGACAAGCAGACATTCCTGGCTTAATACATTTTTCTTTGCTTCATCATGTCTCCGGCCCCTCTGATAATTACTCTTGCTTTCTATTTTTTAATTTTTTATCAACAAAAAATAAAGACTTACTATTATCAGACACTGCAATACTGTAATAATTTGTAAAATAACATCAACCCCTTCAGACTGCCTATTAGAATGCTAGTTTGGGCATTTATTGGACAATGGCTCATTTTGTTTAAATTTTGAACACTGGCAAAAATCAAACATTTCCCCTATTTTATACGAAATAGACCACAAAGTTTGGCATTTTAATTAAAAAAAAAAAAAAACTGTCGGAGTTTATTTTTTTCATTTGCACTGCGTTGCTCCAGGATTTTTTTTTATATGGTGCACACTGGCCACACCCGACCATTTCTCCACATGTGGGCCCACCACTTTCTCCTGCTTGATTTTAAGCCGCAGAAATTTTTGAGTAACATGTACATTATATACGTCAAACACGGTACCTCGTAAACGTATAATACGCCGCACAGTCAAAGGTTAACTCACTCTATGTCGATTAAAAACAAAAATTACCTTTCTTAAGAAAATAGAATCTTTCCCCGAGTAAAACCAAAAGTATGAAATTGATAGAAAAAATTACGGAATTACCTCTCGCGAAAGTTAGCGTCTTGGCGATATTTTTCGCACTGGCGATATCGCCTACTTGAGCCCTTTTTACAGCCATTCCATTGTTCCAGTTTTACTAAAAAATCATAGCTATTTCACTAGAAACTCCATTTGTTGTATCGAGTGAGAAAGAAAAACCGCCCCACTTACTGATTTCAAAACTACCCATAAAGTGGGCAGAAACTGCAATTTGGGCAATTTCACACAAATTTCAAAATATGCCAATTTCAAAAATAGGTCCAGATAACAAGAAAACATTCTGGTACTAAAATAACATTTTCTCTGCTCATTTGTCACGTCTCCCGGCCCCTCTTATATTACTCTTGCTTTCCATTTTGAATTTTTATTCTCACAAAAAACAGAAGATTTACTGTATGCAGACTACTGCATTTTATAATAATTGTATAAATAATGTCAACCCACTCGTGACTGTGTATTAGACTAGCCAGTTGGACACATATTGGACATTTGTTTACTCTTGAACATTGGCAAAAATCAAACATTTCCACTACTTTGAGCTCAATTTCAAAGTACTTTTCATCATGAAACCAATCATAATCACCTCCATTTCTGTAATATATTTTCCATTCTATCAAATGAAACCAAGGAAACAAGAATACAACCACAAATACCATACAAAAATACACCGCAAAGTCGGTTTTAAACCAAAAACTTGGTCGGAGTTTTTTTTCTCATTATGCACTGCGTGCTGCAGGATTTTTTTATAGCGCACACTGACCACGCAGACCCATTCTTTCATATGTAGGACTACCAGCTTTCTTCCCCCAAATCTGAAGGAGCTAGAATTTTGGCAAAGTACTACGGGACCAACATTGGCTATCAAACAGTAGTACTATGGGACCGACACTGAAAGGGTTAAGTAACTTAGCATGCTAAGTATCACATTTAAAGATGCAAGTTCAATACAACTAACCTGCTGCAGATTTGGGTTGGTTGCCAATAATGCCAATTGTGCGACCATTCATGCGTGCAAATCCAACAATTATATTTTTTGCATAATTAGGCATAATTTCAAAAAAATCTCCCTCATCCACAATGCTCTCAACCACATCTAGCATGTTGTATGCAGCTGTTGATTCTAGCGGGACAACAGTGTCCAATCCAGGTACATCACGATCCCTGTAAAAGTTTCTAACAATCAACATAGGCCGTACATAAAATAGCATATACTACTGTATAATTATAACATACAAATAAAATTGGACCTCTTTCAAATAAATTAAAATTTAATTATTTTAATGAAATGCATTTTGAAATATACAGCCATATCACTATACTGTTTAAAGCTGAACCACTTAACCATGGGTCATCACACTGTCTGATAGGGGATGGTTCTTGATTATTCTGAGGCAAATAACCCATGAAAGTTCTTAAGTTGAGAAGAGCATGAATATCATTTCGGAAAGCTTTATGAGCAACCCCAGACAGTGTAGTGTGAGTGCGTGCTCCACCCAGTTCCTCCTGGGTTACATCCTCATTGGTGACTGCCTTCACTACATCTGGACCAGTAATGAAGAGGTAGGAGCTGTCCTCAACCATGAATGTAAAGTCTGTCAAGGCAGGTGAGTACACTGCACCACCTGCACATGGGCCCATAATCAGGGAGATCTGTTGAATTATAAGAGGTATTAAAATTTTGTTTGATGTTAGTAAGGTCTGCTTCCTCAACAATAATGTATATAAAGCAACTTTTAAAATAATAGGCTAAATGCTTCAAATTTCACTGCATAATTTGCATTTTTACTTACACTACACACACAAAACAAACATACCTGAGGAATGACTCCTGAAGCCATAACATTGCGTTGGAAGATATCAGCATAACCAGCCAGCGACTCAACACCTTCTTGAATCCTAGCTCCACCTGAGTCATTCAAACCAATAACTGGAGCCCCTACAAGCATAGCCTGGTCCATGATCTGAAAAAAAAAAGTAAATTTTTATCTACACTAGGGTTTTCCTTTGGTCAGATAAAAATAATGAAGGAGGAGGAGGTGCGGGATTACCAAAACTGTTGTCCAGAGGGCTGAGGAAGGGTTGTTGAGGTGGTTCGGACATGTAGAGAGAATGGAGCGAAACAGAATGACTTCAAGAGTGTATCAGTCTGTAGTGGAAGGAAGGCGGGGTAGGGGTCGGCCTAGGAAGGGTTGGAGGGAGGGGGTAAAGGAGGTTTTGTGTGCGAGGGGCTTGGACTTCCAGCAGGCATGCGTGAGCGTGTTTGATAGGAGTGAATGGAGACAAATGTTTTTAATACTTGACGTGCTGTTGAGTGTGAGCAAAGTAACATTTATGAAGGAATCAGGGAAACCGGCAGGCGGACTTGAGTCCTGGAGATGGGAAGTCAGTGCCTCACTCGAAGAGGGTGTTAATGTTGCAGTTTAAAAACGTAGTGTAAAGCACCCTTCTGGCAAGACATGATGGAGTGAATGATGTGAAAGTTTCTTTTTCGGGCCACCCTGCCTTGGTGGGAATCGGCCGGTGTGATAATAAAAAAAAAAACTATTACTTTTACCACTACTAGTACTACTACTTACTACCTCATTACTACCACTACCACTACTGCTACTACTTCTACAACTACCACCTCCATACTCCTTTCCTTCCCCCCCCCCCCCACCTTACCATGCTGCCTTCTAGCCTTTTCTACTTTTCTTGCCCCAGTTGTGACTTGCAAATGATCCAGGATGGACTGAAATGTTGCCACAAGGTTCCTCTCATAAGTGCAAGTTTCAGGTGAAAAAGAGGGCATTTTACACCATGCAATGTAGTTCTACCACATTTCTTTGAAATATTGTATAGAATTCTGACCTATATATAATGAACATTACAGGATTATAGTGTTGTATTGTCTATTGTGTTTTAAAATAGTGAATATTTTGGCTAGAGCCTAGTACACAATGGATACTAGTAGTATTTCTTCGTAGATTTGATATCCACAGTGCCTCTCAACTACATGAATATCAAGGTTCTACTACACTGTACTTCTTTACTCAGTAAACTGCATACAGTGCGTGAGTGTGTTAGATAGGAGTGAATGGAGACGAATGGTACTTGGGACCTGACGATCTGTTGGAGTGTGAGTAGGGTAATATTTAGTGAAGGGATTCTGGGGAACCGGTTATTTTCATATAGTCGGACTTGAGTCCTGGAAATGGGAAGTACAATGCCTGCACTTTAAAGGAGGGGTTTGGGATATTGGCAGTTTGGAGGGATATGTTGTGTATCTTTATATGTGTATGCTTCTAAACTGTGTATTCTGAGCACCTCTGCAAAAACAGTGATAATGTGCGAGTGTGGTGAAAATGTTGAATGATGATGAAAGTATTTTCTTTTTGGGGATTTTCTTTCTTTTTTGGGTCACCCTGCCTCGGTGGGAGACGGCCGACTTGTTGAAAAAAAAAAATAATTACTGAAAATTAGATGATGATGTGGGGTCACTGAATCTATAATTCAGAAGGCTGGGGAGGGGTTGAATAAGTGATTTGAGCATTTAGAGAGGATGGAGCAGGATAGGATGACTAAGAGGTGTATAAATTAGGGAGGGAAGGAAGAGTAGGGATCATCCTAGGAAGAGTTGAAGGGAGGGGATAAAGAATGAATTGAGTGCCATGGACTTCAGCATCCAGAAGGCTTGTGTGAGCATGTTTGATCAGAGCAGAGACAAGTGATTTTTATGGCTTGATGTGCTGTTGGACCATAAGCAAGGTAACATTTAAGAAGAGATTCAGGAAACCCATTACTCGAACTGTAGATCAGGAGAGAAGCACAGTGACTGCACTATGAGGAAGGGATGGAGATGTTGCAGCTCAAAAGCATCATTTGAACTGTAATATCTGTACACTTCTGGGATGATAACTGGTGAACGTTTACTTTTTATTTTTGGAATGGGGGACAGAAAGAGGAAGGAATACTAAAAAGGACTTGCATACCCTGACAACACTAGATGAAATGGTCAGTCGTCACGAGAGGTCACAGGCCCTGAGCTGCTTTGGGATTAGTGGGGACAGTTACAAACCCAGGGGTTTCTGCGGGTTTTTAAAACGAGGTTGGGGTTTTTTAAAGGGAGGGGGTCCCCACTTCCCCGGGGGAAATTTAGGGGTTTAAGGGTTCCCCTCGATGGGTTTAGATGATGTGAGGGGGCTGGAGTGGTTGAGGGGAATAGGCAACCCATGAGGGCAGTCCACACCTGCTACAAGGGGTGGGGTTTCCCAGTAATGGGAGGGCACAAAATAAGGAAATTTAAAGAGAAGATCTAAAGGGTAGGAAACGCTTCTCTTTCTTCGGATGAGTGTACTTCAGTGACCAGTGACGTAAAGGTACAATTCCCCGCTAACAAGGTAAGAAAATTTTTTGTGGCGGTGAGCACAGCTAAGTATAGAACTTTTCTTCTGTAAAGGGAATAGAAAGTGAGAGGGTGCTTCCCTAAAGCTATTTGGGGTGAAAAAGTCAAAGGTTGGATAAATCATTCAAAAATGGGAAAAAGCCCATTATCTGTCTCTCGGGAAATGATATTGAGAAGGGTGGGAAGAAGGCTCTAAAAAATCAGGTCAGCTATAGTTTTAAATTTAAATCAAAGGGAAGGGGTCCCAATCAAAATGTGCACTTGCCTAAAAGGGAGTGGGCAATGAATGGTTGTCTGGGCAACGGGTGTAAATTTGCTGCTAGACAGATACTTACGCAATGAATTTTGCAACCCTTCTTGATAATGGACATTTTTTATGCAAACAGAAATAAAAAAAAAGGGGAAGGATAACTCTCGGGGGCAGGAGTGGTAGCACTTGTGAACCATGGGAAAAGGCCCCTTGCGCCCTGTCTAGGTTTTTAAAAACTGAAGAAATAGAGGTGGGGCGTGTGTGGGAAACATCAGGTTGCAACACTAGGGGTTAAAACAGTAATGTATAAAAGACTTTCACCCAAATTTATAAAATAAAGAAAGGGATCGGTCACAAACAAAGGGGACAGCAAGGGCAGAAAGAGACAGCTCCCTTAAGGTTTTACTATACTAATAGCGGGAGTGTAAAAAAAAGACAGATGACTAAGATTAATTGCAAGTGCAGGAAACGAATTTTTGCATAACAGAGACCTGACCAATCTGGAAAAATAAAATGCCCCCCCTTTTATGTCACATACAAGGCTATAAATTATTCCACACTGTAGGGGCACGGGGAAAGGGGGTGGGTAGCAAAGAAGTCAAGGCAATTTAAATTGTGTTAAAAAAGATATAAAATTAGAAGCATCAGCCCTTTAATCTTTTTGGGTTCAGCTTCTTGAGCCGTGAAAAAAAATCTTGGTGGATTTAAGGCCCCCAAACCTGAAGGGGTGCAGTAAACCTATGGGACAAATTTTTAAGGCATCACATAGAAAAAGTTGTGCTAGTGGGGGATTTCAACTTCAGACAAAATGACTGGAACAATTTGACAGGAAATTTAAAAGTCAATGACTTTTGTACAGTTCGGACTTTCTAAAACAGTTTGGACAGAACCAACTAGAGGAAAAAACCTGCTTGACTTGGCTTTCCAGCGGAATGCAAAATTTTAATCGAGGTTAATGAGACTTAGGGAAAATGATCACAAATCAATGTTTTTAAAATCATGAAAATTTCCCTAATAAAAGGAATCAATGTTGTCCCTGACTTCTGCTTGGGTGCTTCCCGGAAATGAAAAATTACCTGGGGGGGCAACTGGGAAAGACCTGACATGGGTCAGGTAGGGGAGATGGTTGCCATATGACATTTTTTCCGACATAGTTTTACTGCCAGATAACTTTAAAAGTTTCCAAAAAAAGGAAATCAATCAAACAAAAAAAATCCTAAATGGATGAACAAAAGATTAAAACACTCCTGGCAAAAGAAGGTTATACAGGCAAATAAAAGAGGAGAGGGCAATTAAAAATCACTATATTCATTTTAAAAAATAAAAAAAAAAGGGGAAAAAAAAAAGCAAAAAGAGATTATTAGGGTTAAAGTTGCAAGAGAACGAAGAATAACCCAAAAGGGTTCTTTCCCGGGATCAGAAATTAAGGACAAAACAGACCCCTCAAAAGTTACTCACCG